TGTTGTGCAGTGCTGCAGAGGTCAGAAGAGGGCTTTGACTTCTCCTGGAACTGAAGTTAAGGACGGTTCATAGCTGCCATGTGGGTGCTGGGAATTGAACCCGGGTCCTCTGCAAGAGCAGTCGGTGCTCTTAACTGCTGAGCCATCTCTCCAGCCCCGATTTATTTTTGTTTTATGTGTATGGTTTGCTTGTATGTATGTATGTATGTATGTATGTATGTACACCACATGCATTCAGTGCCCAGAGACAAGAAGAGAGAGTTGAATCCTCTGGAACTAGAGTTACAGGTGGTTGTGAACCACCATGTGGATGCTGGGAACCAAACCTGGATCATCTGGAAGAGCAGTAAGTGCAAGCCTTTACCCCTGAGCATCTCTCCAACCCCCATGCCTGTTTTGTGTATTCATTTTTCAGTGCTGGATATCACACCCAGAACCGTACACATGCTAGACAAGCACTCTACCACTGGGCTATGTCCTCAGTCCTTTAAAAAAGACTATGACCTTTTTTTTTTTTTTTTGGTCTTTTTGAGACAGGGTCTCCCTGTAGCCCCAGCTGTCCTGGAACTCACTATGTAAACCAGGCTGGCCTTGAACTCACAGAGATCCGCCTGCCTCTGCCTCCCAAGTGCTGGGATTAAAGGCATACGCCACCACACCTGGCTTACCTTTTAATCTATTTACTTTGTGTGCATGTGATATGTGTGGGCATCAGTTCTCTGCTCCCATCTTTACTCAGATTCAGGGACTGGAACTAGGGCTAGTGCAGCAAGTGCCTTTACCTGCTGAGCCATATCTCTGGTTCACTTTGGGGGTTTTTTTGTTGTTGTTTTTTTAATTTGGGACTCCTCCAGGTGGAGCTCCCATCAAAATAACAGTTGGCTGGAACATTCTGGAGCTCAAGAGAGTGTTCTAGACAGAGATGCACCTGCCTCTGCCTCCCAAATGTTGGGATCAAAGGTGTCTTAGTTTGTTCTTCATTGCTGTGACAAAACACTCTGACCAGTACCAACTTGGGGAGGAAAGGGTTTATTTGTCTTATATCTCCCAGGTCACACACAGTTCATCAGGGAGTCCAAGGTAGGAACTCAGGGCAGGAACCTGGAGGCAGGAGCTGGAGCACAGGCCATGGAGGAACGCTGCTTACAGGCTTGCTCCCTTGGCCCCTGCTCAGCCTGCTTTCTTATGCAACACAGGCCCACCTGTCCAGGGGTGGCACCACCCACAGTGGGCTGGGCCCTCCCACATCACTCATCAAGAAGATGCCCTTCAGACATGGCCACAAGCAAGTCCAATAGAGGCAATTCCCCGATTGAGGGTCCCTCAACACAGGTGTGTCAAGTTGACACTAAAGCTATCCAGCACAAAAGGTGTGTGGTCACAACACTTGGCAATAACTTTTTTTTAAGAAAGTGGCTGGAGAGAAGGAAGGCATATGGTGGACCAAAAATATAATGGTAGCCCCTGACCACCTCTACTTGTGCTTGGTAGCCCCTGAGCACCTTATTTCTCTTTTATGTGTATGAATATATGGCCTTCATGAATTAAGTGCATCCGTGTCACACAATGCGCATGGAGGTCAGAAGAGGGTGTTGGATCTCCTGGAACTGAAGTTACAGACAGCTGTTAGCTGCCATGTTGGTGCAGGGAACCAAACCTGGGTCCTCTTCAAGAGCAGTCAGTCCTCTTAACTACTGAGCCATCTCTCCAGCCCTTTTTTTGTTTTTTGTTGTTTTTTGGGGGGGGGGTTAAAATATTTTATTTATTATTTTTTATATTTTACTTTCATTTTTATTTTATGTGTATGCGTGTATTGCCTGCATGTAGGTAAGTGCACCTGTGTCGTGCAATGCCCGCAGGACAGAAGAGACTATCAGATCCCCTGGAACTGGAGTTACGGACAGTTGTTAGCTGCCATGTGGGAGCTGGGATTCGAACCCAGGTCTTCTGCAAGAACCAGTGTTCTTAACTGCTGAGCCATCTCTCCACCGCCAATTTTGTCTTGTTTTGTTTTGTTTTTCAGAGCTGAGGACTGAACCCAGGGCCTTGCGCTTGCTAGGCAAGTGCTCTATCACTGAGCTAAATCCCCAACCCCCCTTTTTTTTTAATAGCCCTTTATTGAATTCTTTTCTTTAAAATTTACTTTTACTTTTTATTTTAAAAATATTTTATTTAGCCTGGCATGGTGGCTCACACCTTTAATTCCAGCACTTGGGAGGCAGAGGCAGGTGGATCTCTGTGAGTTCAAGGCCAGCCTGGTCTACATAGTGAGTTCCAGGACAGCCGGGGCTATAGGGAGACACTGTCTCAAAAAGACCAAAAAAATTTTTTTATTATTATTATTTTATGTGTATGAGTGTTTTGTCTGCATGCATGCAAGTGCACCACATGCATGCAATTATCCAGATCTGAGGCCAGAAGAGGGCATCAGATCCTCTAGAACTGGAGTTAGCTGCCATGTGGATGCTGGGAACTGAACCCAGTCCTCTGGAAGAACAGCAAGTCTTAACCACTGAGCCCAACTTTTATTATTTTTAATTCTGTGTAGGTGTGTCTGACTGTAGGTATGTGCACATGAGTGCAGATGCCCATGGGGACCAAACTCCTGGAGCTGGAATTACAAGCAATTGTGAGAACCCAATATGGGTCCTGGGAATTAAACCCAAGTCCTTGGAAAGAGCAGACAGTGCTCTTAACCACTGAGCCATTTCTCCAGCTCCTTTACTCTCTTTAAAAAAGCATTATTGCCAAGTGTTGTGGCTGCACACCTTTAAGCCCAACATTTGGGAGGCAGAGGCAGGTGCACTTCTGTGACAGCAAAGACAGTGTGGTCTACATAGTGAGTTCCAGGCCAGCTGGGCCTACAGGGAGAACCTGTCTTAAAAAAAAAAAAAAATTAGGGCCGGAGAGATGGCTCAGCAGTTAAGAGCACTGGCTGCTCTAGCAGATGACCCAGGTTCAGTTCCCAAAATCCACATGGCAGCTAGCAACCATCTGTAACTCCAGTTCCAAGGGATCTGAAGCTCTCTTCTGGCATCCAAGAGCATTGCACAACACAGTTGCACTTACATATACACAGGCAAACATTCATGTACATAAAATAAAAGTAAAGTATTTTAGTCAGGCATGGCAGTGCACACCTTTAATCCCAGTACTCATGAGGCAGAGGCAGGCAGCTCTCTGAGATTCAGGCCAGCCTGCTCTATATAAGGATTTCTGGGCCAGACAGGACTACATAGTGAGGAAGTGTCTACAAGCCTGCTGACCTGATTTTGATCCTCAGAACCAATAGGAAAGGCAGAATTGAGTCCTGAAAGTTGTCCTCTGACTGCCATATGGATATCATAGTAAACAAATGAAATATAAACAAATTGTCTGGAGAGATAGCTCAGTGGTTACAAGCACTGGTTGCAGAGGGCTGAGGTCCAGTTTCCAGTACCCACATGGCAGCTAACAACTGTCCATAATGCCAGTTCCAAGGGATCTTGACGCCTCCTTCTCATTTCCATGGGAATTGTACACAGGTGGTACACTTACATACATGCAGGCAAAACACTCATACACATGAAATAAAAATAAATTTTTAAAAATTTTTGGTCTTTTTGAGACAAGCTCTCCCTGTAGACCAGGCTGGCCTTGAACTCACAGAGATCTGCCTGCCTGCGCCTCCCAAGTGCTAAGATTAAAGGCATATGCTACCACACCCAGCAATAAATAATTTTTTAAAGAAATATAAACAAAACAAAGAGTAGAGCCCACCAACCAAACCATATCATACCACACCCCACCTGGCCCCAGCAAGTGCTCCTTCCTAGAGCCAGTCCCTAGCCCCTTCCCAAGTGCAGTGGCACTCTGCTGACCTTAAAGATAGGTGTGTCCCAGTTTTGCCCCAGGGGACTGACCTTATTTGAAAGCAGAAGTTAACTCCATACCTGAAGGAAAATCTTGCCAATCTTAGTGGACAGACAGAACAGTTTACCAAAGAAAGTCCTGGAATCAGTGACAGCACAGGCAACAGAAGGGCTGCGCATTTTCAGTAGGCTGTACCCAC